CATTCTTAACCCTCTTATTTTACTCATAACTATTATTTTTGAGTTTTGTTATATTCCTTCATTGATAAAAAAAGCTGGGTTGAATAAAAGAGGACTCAGTTGGTGACTTTAGTGCATTGGGTTCACATGTTTTTCCATTATAATATGGTTTATTTGGTTTTGGCTTTGGGTATTGAGCAAATTCAGTCAACTCTTACTTCTCCTATAAACCATAGGAAAACAGGGCTTAGGGTGCATCAGAGGTGGGTTGCTCCCGATTCGGCCCGGTTCAGCCAAATTGGTAGTGGAATTCAGGACTGGGTCACAGAATCAGCAGTGACCCAGGCCTGCCACGTCCCCAAACCGGTTCCCTCGCCACTGCTGGGCCACCGCCATTTTGGTTTTTAGTGACTGTGTGTGTACAGTTCACAGTAAATTGTTCTGTGCATGCCTAAAGAACAATTTTCATTGAACAGCACCCACGTGTTGTGAACTGGTAGTAAAACTGATAGCAACCCATCCCTGGTGTGCATAAACCTAATCATTAACTTAGTACCAGTGGGTGGCTATTACAATAAAATAGGATAGTCTCACAATTATATCCTGACCTTCTTAGATGGAAGAAATAATAAAATATTATTGGTAGATAGAAATAATTGTCCTTAAATTCTATTTCAATCAATCCTAGCAGCAAATTTCTGGGATCTACAAATGGCCTTATACCACCTGTTCATTTACTTTTTTCAATCAAGAGCTTTGAGGAAGGATGCTGATTTTGTTCTGAATATATTCGAAGTCCCATCCTGCAATTTCTTTTTGTTCTTTCCAGTTCAGTATTGACTGCACTGAACTGCAGGAGTTTCTAACATTTCAGATAGGTATTGAACTAGAGGCTGCCCTATGTTCTATGTGGTTTCTGCACAGACTATTTATTCTCATTCCTATTTCTTCTAGTTTTTATCAATTTCATATCCTAGAATGCCATGAAATGAGATTGCATATATATTGTAGATCTGATTTTCTTTATTAATTTGTGACAAACATTTGCAGGCTGTTTATTTAAACATACAATTTGCATAGCATATTTTTCCCTGAAGTAGCTTATTTCAAGCTGTGGTTAGATTATAAAGAGGAAAAAAATGATTTAGCCTTGTTCTTGCAGCATTATTTTTATTGCGAAAAAAGCTAGCTCCCCAGAGCCCCAAATTTGGACCTATTCAAACAAGCAATTTACCTTTCATAGACTGTTAAAAATAATAGTGCACAATCTCCCTTGGATTGAGCTCAGTTCTTGATGGTTTCATGGATAACTATAAACAAGTTATTTGCCAAAGCCATTTTCCAGGAAGCTGTTTTGATTATTTTTTTTTGCCTAGTCTACAAACGACCCATCCAAGTATTAATTAAGTTTGATCTTGCTTAGCTGTTCTGTAAACATTCATTCTACTGATGGCATACATTCTACTGATTTTATTCTATACTAGTTGATAACCCAGTGTTGCCCGGATATTTATTTATTCCAATCCTGTATTAGACAGGAATGGCGATGTCAAGTGGCAATGGAATGGGGTCTCTTCCCTCCTTCCATGAACGTTGCTGCAATTCCTGAAGAGGTGATGGCAAGAGCAATTTCTCCCTGAGCTCTGATTTTGGCAACAATCGAATTAGTTAAAAATGTTTTCCCTATGCCCCCAGAAGCGTAATTTCTAATGTTGGATTTTCTCCATTACCAGAGGGAACCCCCTTGTGGAGTACTGTGAAGCCATTACTATGGCAACTCCACTGCACTGTAGAGTAGAAGCCATTTTAAAGCAAAAAAGGCTGTATTTTAACACCGAGGGTCATTAGGGGCGTCTTACCCAGAGGTGGGTTCCTGCCGGTTCGGCCCGGTTCAGCCGAATAGGTAGTAATGTGGCCAGACATGTGACTGTACCGGTTCTATCCTAGGCACTGCCATCTTTATTTTCTGTTCTGTTCAAAAAGTTTTGGGCACTGAATCAGTAGTAATACCAGCAGGAATCCACCTCTGGTCTTACCCCCCCTAGTATTTTTCTCCAGAGAGTAAGTCATATGTGTACCAAGTTTCCTTGAAATTGCTCAAGGCATAAACATTAACAGTCATTTTTATATATGTATATAGAAGATATAGATAGATTCTAATCAAATACAATGAACAGAAATTGAAAATAACTCATGAAAAAAACTGTTCAAATGTTATACAAAGTCACATCTGTGTTAGCTGTAATGCTCAATTTTTATTAAATACAAACCATATCTATAGGTTATTGTGTACATGCATGCATTCACACATAATTATTGCTCTAGGTCACACAACATGCTTAGCAAGGTCAGTTAAAGATGTAGCAACTACATTTGCATAAAATGCTAACTGCTTTACTCTTAACTTTTAGATTTTTTTTTTGCTCTGAAATGGTATCTTATGTAAAGATAACCACTTTTTTCATTTTTTATTATATACAATGGCTAACTTCATGAATGAAACTAAACCAAAACATTTAATAATAGTAATGGCTCGTGAACAAATCATGCAGATTTGGTTGATTTTATTCAGTAACCCCAGTTTCACTGTGTTTCTATGTTAACACAGCTTCTGTATTATAAAAAGTCAAGGGAAGAAACTGGGCACATTGAAAAGCCCTGATCAAGCCAACCCACTTCTCATCCAACATGCCAAGTCCAAATGACAGAATCTTCTCAGATAAAATTCATATACATGGTGCCATGATGTAATATAACATCTGTATGTTTCAACTCTGAAAGCTTCGACAATATAGATTATGTGTGTACATTTCTGATAGTCTATATATCCCTTCTTGCAGCAGTGCAAAGTGTTCGGATCTAGATACTTCCTAAAATTAATAACACTGTAATAGTCATGCAATGGATCATGAGTTCAATTCCTGAGATGAGGCTTGAAACTATAAAATAAGAACTGGTTACCAAAGCATTACAAGTCCCAATAAGGATAAAAACGATCACGTATTGCCTTTTGTTGGTCTATGTAATTTTTTTCAGATAGCAAGGTAAAGGTAAAGGTTCCCCTCGTACATATGTGCTAGTCGTTCCTGACTCTAGGGGTGGTGCTCATCTCCATTTCGAAGTTGAGGAGCCAGCACTGTCCGAAGACATCTTCGTGGTCATGTGGCCAGTATGACTAAAAGCCAAAGGCGCACGGAACGCTGTTACCTTCCCACCAAAGATCGTTCCTATTTTTCTAGTTGCATTTTTACATGCTTACAAACTGCTAGGTTGGNGTCTATCTCATATATTAGTTTCACCTTTTAAGTTGCATTATTGAAATAAATGAACTTTTGCACCATATTCTAATTTTTTGAGTTTCACCTGTATTTACATGCTTCTCTACTACTGTTGTCTTATGATCCAAATCAGCTTCCTGAAGCCTCAGATTTCTGCTTGTCACTTTTCAATGATGCTAGGCTCTGTTGCTTATTTCTTAAAGTCTCTGCTAAGTTCTACCTCATCTGATTTCTCATTTTGCTTGCTGCCCGGGACTGTGTCATCTTCTATAATGTTCAATCTATTTCCGGATAAACAATCTATTCCAATCTCTTTTCTGCCATCACCTTCTCCAACATCTGTCTCAACACTTTCCACTTCCTTCTACCTTTCTTGATAAATTTAGAATTCTATGACTCTCATATTACTTTTCCATTGCTTTCTCTCAGTTGCATTGATAGCATCATCCTTCTGACACTAATTGCCCTTCAGTTGTCATAAAGTCCTACTTTTTGCTTACTCCTTTCCCTCATTCATTCCCTTCTCCTAATTTTTTGTTTGCAAACGCCTGCTACATGCCACTTGCTGCTGTCTGAACTTCATTGCCTTTGCCAACTGCATGCATGACCTTGCTCAAACACCCATTTTCCAACTGCATGAACTAGAAACCTTGCTCAAGCATCCATTTATTTGCCAAAAGTCTAGGCTTACATGCTTTCCATGTATGCCTTCAACAATTCTGGGGGGCACAAGGTATCAGGCCTATTTCTCACTAGGCTACTGAAGAATTCTGATGGATGCAGCCTAGGATAGCAGACTCTGATAGGCTGCCATCATGCATAATTAAATACAGTGTGGTGAATAGCCCTGGTAAAATCCTCAGCAACCCTACCTGTACAAGGCAGATGCTGTTCTCTTTAGTCCTTTGGGTCTGTTGGGCTTCGGTTCTCCAGCCATGTTTATATCTGCAACAAATAATGGTTTGGAATTACTGTAGTATCTTTCCCTAACTGTCCTTAAGGCAAACATTCAAAACAAATTTAAGCTACTTTTAACAATTCTATTGAGATCAGGTTTGCTACATAATTTTATTTTAATACTGAGCAACAGTTATTTTCTTCAGATATATCTGTTATATTCAAATAGAGGCAGTGGTGTTTTCCTTTTTTTTTGAAAAAATATACAGTATATGGGATTTTTATATTCTGTAATTATTTTCAATAAGACCCATGGTCCCATTAATCATTTCCCCTCTTAGTACTTCATCAATCAATTCATCAAATACAATTAAATTTATTTTCATATTATGAAAGCCTTAAACTCATTCAAAAAATCTATCCCATATAAGGAAGATAAGTCAGCCTAAGTCTTACGCACACAATAATGATCAGGGTCCATTATGAACAAGAATAAATCTCCTCCTTGCTCCTTCACTATTTGCAGGATCTTGAATCACTTAGAAAAATTAATTCATGAAGAATTCAACACCCACCTAAGTCATAGATATTATAACTAAAAGTGGGCCTTCCTATGAAAAGCATAGGAAAAGATAGTCAGGCTCCTTAGGTAAAGGTAAAGGTTCCCCTCGAAAATATGTGATAGTCATTCCTGACTCTAGGGGTGGTGGTGGTCATCTCTGTTTCAAAGCCAAAGAACCAGCGCTGTCTGAAGATGTCTCCATGATCATGTGGCGGGCATGACTAAACACCAAAGGCGCATGGAATGCTATTACCTTCCCANCGTGGTCATGTGGCCAGTATGACTAAAAGCCAAAGGCGCACGGAACGCTGTTACCTTCCCACCAAAGATCGTTCCTATTTTTCTAGTTGCATTTTTACATGCTTACAAACTGCTAGGTTGGCAGAAGCTGGGACAAGTAATGGGAGCTCACTCTGTTACACGGCGCTAGAGATTCGAACCGCCAAACTGCCTACCTTTCTGATTGACAAACTCAGCATCTTAGCCACTGAACCACCCTTTTCAGATAGTAGGTTTATCCATATTTTCAAGAAGAAGATATTCCTTCCTCCATTTAAACCATTGAGAAATATCAGAATGTGTTAGAGCCTCATAGATTGCTATAGGTACATAGGTCTAAAGATCATTTGTTAAGGAAACTAAAAGTGTTTTGCAGGCTGTACATTGCTTGTTTGCTATTCTTAGTGTTCAAATTCCTTTCCAGACAAGTCGGATGAGGTTTATCATTGTTATAATAAAGACAATCATGCCCCAAAATATCCTGTATTGTATTTCCAGGGACTGCTGTGCCATATTTGTTCAGCTGTTCTTTTTCCATGCTATTAGTTTATTTTAAGGCTTTGTGCAACTTTGCACGCAAACTTCAACATAGCTTCAAAATTTTCTTTCCAAGTAAAACTCCCCTTCCAGGTGGTATTTCAGGGCAGTCATCTAGCTTCTACCTGGATGTTCAAAAGAGACTCTGTACATGTCAGAGCAAACATTGTACGTGCCAGGACAAAATTCAAGACAGAAAAATAAACGAACAACTTTGTTCATTACTTTGAATCAGATTATTTTAACAATGTGGACTAAGATAATATGTCTCAAGGGAGAACAGAGTACTTTACACAGCCTAATTTGTCTACCTTCTATTTACCTCAGTCAATGTGTAGGGCTACAGATCCTTCCCATCTAGGCTAGCGAGCCTTGCATTCCTTTCCAAAGTTAAGGTCCACTTTTAGAAGCTGCCACCCTACTGAGTCTATAAGGAGGAGGGTATTACCAAAGGGAAGAAGGTCTAAGTCTTCAGATAGCCACAAATAATTGCTGCTATTTATTCTTTAATTCTTCAATAGTTGAAATATCTAAGAAATACCCCCTCCTTCTCCCCCCCCCCCCCATCTGAGCTCTGAATAAGATTCCTGACTGGTGGTCGCTTTGATGCTGACGCTTGTGGGGAGGGAACATCTCCTTTCTTGTTAACTACCATTTGACAAATGAGTAATGCTTGCTTCCTTTTTTTTTTTGCTGACAGAGTTCCTCTTAGCTAAATTCCTATAATTGCTTTCTGGTTACTCCTACTTTGAGACAGTATCAAAAAATGAAGTAGGGGCATCAGAGAAATCGATTTCCTTCCAGAGCCTCACAGAATGACATGACAAATAGAACAAGTGCAGTTCCTTGAAACAGGGTTGGTCAATTTGTTTGCACTCAAAGGATTGGGAATAGCCTGACAACTTCATCTGTTATCCTCACCCAATGGTCTAATACTTCAGAGAATTTCCATATAAGTCTGATGAATTTCCGGTCCATGAGATCTTGAGTATTTCAAATAAGAGACTGGGGCAAATCAGGGTGGTCAAAATATCCCTAAGAATAACAGACTTATTCTGTGGTTTGTGCCTCACTGGCTGGATTCATACAACATACCTGATAAACTAAAATGGGTTGGATAATTTGATAATGGCTGCCAATAGATTCTCCTGGGACAAATACAATCCGCCATCTTGAGAAGATTGAATATAATTTGTTAGCTGAATTATGATTCTAGGAATGCAAATAAATATTTTGGACCTAACTTCCAAAATAATATGCTTAAAACTGTAATACTAACTTACTAACCCTAACTAGAGATAGAGAAATCAAACCCTAACCATAAATATTTTTCTGACTGTTTTGCAATTTTTTTTAAAAAAGTGTGCAATAAGATTTTCATTTCAACTTGGATGCAAAGGCATAACTGAAAATATATTATCTCTAAAGATAGCCACTATCCCTCACATTCCTCTTATTATTCCAAATATTTTTATTTGGTTTTTCCATATTGTTGCTAAAAGTTGCATTGAGAGGGCATAAGGCAGTGAATAACTTTTCCCAGTCTGTAATTTATCTGGCAGATCAGGCTGGTTCACAATGGACTTCAGAAGAATGAATTCATCTAGGCTCCTTAATGGTACATTAGGCACCAAGGGATTCATTTGTAGGAGATCAGCTTTCCCCCCCCCCCCACATCCAGGTTCATTTTAGCCTAACCATGCTGTGCTTAATTTGAGGTTACTCCATCTGGCTATATATGAAATTGCCAGTTGTAGATATTTGATTAGAATCCAGCATAGTTTTATAACATCTTTCTGCATAGATTTTTTTGACCAGGTCTCGGACTTATCAAAGGGCTGAGGCAAAGTTTCCTATATTGTTCCATAAAATTCACTAGTACAATCAATTTACATTTACTATTATGCCACTCTTAATCAAAGATGACAAAAAACCTAATGCAATTAGTAAAATTACAATTGTTAGACAACTAGAGAAATTAAAAACCTTTCAGTTTGCTAAAAGGGAGCCTCTGATCAGCTGGTTGGCTAATTTTAAGCAAAATGTTTTTATTTGTAAAACAAGGACAGCCAATAATTACAGGAAGCAGAAGATGTTGTAAGAGGACTACCTCCTATAATCATGCTGTTATAACATCAAGCTAGCATCCTCTCTGAGGAAATAATGTAATGTAATGTAATGATTATTTTAGGGAATATGCAAATGTTCAAAATGCAATGCTGCATCAGCACAGATGACATTAATTGACCCATGAGTCTTAAAACAATGACTATCACTTTAATGCAGTAGGAAAAAGAATGGATTTGTTCAGAAAAAAACCACCCTTTCTATTCATCTAGAACAGTGTTTTTCAACCACTGTGCCGCGGCACACTAGTGTGCCGTGGCATAGTGTAAGGTGTGCCGTGGGAAAAACACCTGCCTATCAGTGTTCCCTCTAAGTTGCGTGCGTGAGCGGCCGCGCAGGTAACAAAGAAACACCGCGCACAAGTTTCAAAGTGCAGCGCAGTGTTTTTGAATGTCTTTAAATGTGACTGGAAATATCCCCCTTNTTTTCTACTTGCATTTTTTACATGCTTTCGAACTGCTTGGCAGAAGCTGGGACACATAACAGGAGCTCACTTCATTATGTGGTGCTTGGGATTCGAACCGTCAAACTGCCAACCTTTCTGATTGACAAGCTCAGCATCTTAGCCACTGCGTCCCCTTCAGGCTCTTTATAACATAGAAAATATTGTTTATGTTACTTTAAACTCCTCTGCCATAATACCCATGCTAAAAGCTGTGCTGGATATCAAAACAGATCAAATGTCACCTGTTATAATTGAAGGGATGTTTCTCAATTTTAGCACTGAAAGACTGAATCAGATGCTTTGATCTGCCAAGAAAATTTGCCTGCTCTCCATTCCAATGGGTTCAGTGGAGACTAAGACATATAACCATTTTTCACTGCCTTAATGGAAACTAAACAAAGCAATTTAAATGTAAAAAGGTATTGCTTAATAGAAGCGAAGCTAAGGGGAGGGTGGGTCTTTCCTACATGATCTGTGAAAGATGGTGCAGCATCAGTGATGATTTGCACGTAGACCCAGATCCTTGTAGATCTGTGGCATAACATGAAGATATAATACAGCAGCTTAGTAACGTGAAACAGGCTGGGATCTGGATCAATGCCAAGATGGAACATCTGCTTTCAGGAATCCTACCCTTCTGTTGACAAATTAGACCAGGAGTGTCAAACTGGTGGCTCACGGGCCAGATGTGTCATGCACAGATGACAGATGTGTCATGCACATGACACGCCCACTCAGCTCCATGCAGGGGAAAAAAACATCATGAAATGTCATGTAACAGCAATGTGACACCGCGAGTTTGACACCCGTGCATCAGACTAAAGCAATCCATAGTGGCTTGATTGATTTTAGTTCAGTTTGTCTGTCTGTTGTATTTACATACTATTGCAATTATATGGCTCCGAATAGTATACATTCACAGAAACATAACAGAGTAAACTTTGAAACTATACAAATCCACCAGTAGTAAACATTACAATGCAGTGGTACAAACACACATTTTTAAAGCCTTGCTTTAACTCCATCTGGGTAGCTTTTTGAAAGGCCACAAGTTGGTGTCAGTTTGACCTCCAATGGGAGGCTTCTTCATGTAGGGGA